CGGGGGAAGGGGGTGGGGCACGGAGAGGAGAGGGGCCCTGATTCCTGAATAAACAAAGGACTACTCAGTGTGAAAGTAGGGCCTGACCCTAGATCCTGCCTCCAACACACACACACACACACACACACACACACACACACACACTCACACACCTAATGAACTGCTGTTCTGTCCCCTGCAGATATCTCCTTCCCCACCTGGACCCCACCCTATGAAATCAAGAGCCAGGTGAGTGACTCCAGCCGGGACTAAAAGGCAAGGTCCCTCCATTCAGCCCACCATCCACCCATTTCCCCACGCTCCCCTACCCATGTATGAGGCCCTCTAAGGCTTCATCTCCTTTCCCCAGAATCTTTCGCACTTCTTTGAAAGATTCCAGGACCTACGCAGAGACTTCAAGTCAGCTTCAGCCCAGGACACCATCCAGGTAAGGACAGGACCCAGGGGAGGCAGGTGGAGGCATCCCATAGAGACCCGAGGAAGCCTTGGTCTAAAAGGAGACTGACCCCAACACAATGGCATCATGCTCTGAGGCCTTGCTTTCCCAGGGTGGTGGGAAGAGCAGTCCAAGTATTTGTACTCACTGGTAGACCCACGTACACCTACTAACACCTTTCCTCTTGTTCTGGTCACTGAGTTTGCATTGTCCTTGGTCGTCATGACCAGGGGTTGACCTCTGAGTGGCGGATTGCACTAGCAAAGACCCAGGAAATCCCATCTGGTACCACCTCTGTCCCCAAATAGACAGGTTCTAGGGTCTGTTCTCAGAAGCTGAGTGGGCAGGATCTTCCTGAAGCTTCTCTGGCACAAGATCCACTGGTTCTGTGTCCCCATCCCCCCAGGATATCATACAGGAGGTGGATAATCTCCTGGAGACCCCAGGGGACCTGCTTACTCTGCCTCCTTCAGAGCGGTACTTTGTGGCCACTAACCTGCTCACTGGCCAGGAGCATGTCCTGAGAGAACTGAGCAAGACCTTGTCCAATGGGACACTGACCTTCAGGACAGCTGCAGGATCAGGCAAGTAACCCTACCTGCCCCCAGGCTCTGCTCTTTCTGCTCCTCACCTCATTCCTCTTCCCATCACACTAGAGCTGAGTGATCACACTTGTACCTCCTTGTTACTCTCGTAAACATCTACTTATATAAAAACCATGGGTGGTGTCAAATGAACAGCTGTGACTGAGCGGAAGGAAGTCAGTCCTACAGGGGTTGTCTTGGCAATGGCTGCACCCTCCCACAAGCTGTTTCCAGGAGCTGTTTCCTATAAGGGCGGAGTTTGAGGCAGGAACCTGCCCTGAGAGCGTGGAAGCAGATCTTTCTAACATGTGCCGGTGCCAGCATGGGGTGAACCTGAGTGGGGCAGCTGAAAGGGTTAGAAAAGACAGACAAGACAAGAGAATGAAAGCTGGGTCTCGGTGGGACGCTGCTTCTCTGAGAGACAGTGACCACACCCATAGCCATGCCTTTATTTTATAGCAGATGCTATGAGGCAAAGTAAGGGCGGGACCAAGATGTTTACAAACATTCTCGTGGGTTTCAATCCTACTCAACTACATGCACCTGAACTCTGTCAAGCCCACATCACTCACGACCATAGGTTCAAGCTTACAACTACAGCTGTTGGCTATAATTGTGCTGGGAGGGACCTGCTCTCCAAGCTGGGACTTGCACGTGGCAATGAGAGGACTGTGCCCTCTCATCAGTCCAAGGCTTGAACCTATCTAAAACACTGTATTGACTCCCCACAATAAAGTTTTAATTCTGTTTCTTTGTTACTAATGTTGTGGCCCCACCCCATAACAAAGAAACCAAGGAAAATTTCCCTATCAAATTTCTGAATAGTATTACTCCTTCGGGAATGCTGTGTCATAAATTAAAATTGAAAGTGGGTGTAATCATCATGCTATTGAGAAATCTCAATAGTAAATGGGGTCTTTGTAATGGTACCAGATTTATTATCAAAAGATTATGACCTAACATTATCAAAGCTGAAGTATTAACAGCATCTGCAGAGGGAGAAGTTGTTCTGATTCCAAGAATTAATTTGTCCCCATCTGACATTGGCCTTCCATTTAAATTGATTCAATGACGGTTTCTCATGACACCAGCATTTGTGATGACTATTAATAAATCACAAGGACAAACTCTAGACAGAGTAGGCATATTCCAACCTGAAACTGTTTTCACACATGGTCAGTTATATGTTGCTTTCTCTTGAGTTTGAAGAGCATGTGACGTTACAGTTAAAGTTCTAAATACTTCATTACAAGGGAAATTAGTCAAGCATCTGAAAGTGTTTTTACTCTTAATGTGGTGTACAGGGAGATATTAGAATAAGTTTAATCAATTTATCAGTCATTGTTTGTATCAATGTTGTTTTATTATCATGTTTTTGTTGTTTTTTTATCATGTCTTTGTTGTT